TATATTGTTGGCAAGTGTTCCTATTGCTGTGTTGGTGATGACTGGTGATGACTGATGACAAAGAAATTCAATAAAATGCAATCAAGTCTTGATTCATTAAGCGATTCTCCCATCTTCTGTGATGGTCCAATGTTTCTAGTGCAGCGGCCGGCCTCAGCTTATCGACCGCTGCCGGGCCGTCCAAACGGTTTCGTTAGAATATGAATCGATGTCCACAAAGTTGCCAGTGCAGCTGTACCCTGCTGTCCTGTCGGTACAGAAAGGAACTTCGCGACCCTACCGCACCGCGCAAGTGGAGAACTCGCGACCGGAAGCAAATGAATTGAAGGTGGCCGTGTGAGAAACAACGCAGCTGGAGCCCGGAGGCTGAGTCTGCATCCCGTTCTCTCCTACGTCAATAAACATCTCAGCTTGTGTATACCCCTTTGTACGTGTTAAGAGACCCGTTTATGTAGCACGAATTCTACAATTTAGATTGGTTACACGTTGCAGTATAAGCAACATTTGAATACGTAAAACGGTTATATGGGTGACCGCTTGACACCATCCCCCTGCAGAGCCAGGCTAAGCAAGATTAATGTTGTATTTTAACGTCCTATTGCACTATACTGAACAGTATAACACACGCAGTCACAGGAGCAAGACGCAACAAAAGCACAACACACACACAATAGTGAAGGAGTGCTCCAACAGAGGAGGATGGGCGTGACTGGCGTAGTGAGGTGCGACGTACCGATGAGGAATCCTGAACAATTTTAATATTTTTAACGTTTGACATTGGTCAATGTATATGATAGATATATATTTTAGTTATTTTAATGTGAGGACAAGGCATGCAATGAACTAGTTTGGCGTGGATTGAGTAAGCACCTGAAGATGGCATTTTTATGCCGAAACATGTAGTGCGAGTGAGAGAAGGAGATAGATGAGTGTATGCACTGCAAGACGGTTTAAATAAATCATGAGAATATCCTCTTGTCCCCAAGGTCATCCAGCATCTTCTTACGTCTTCTGGTTCGCATACATGGTGTCTCTGTTTTTGGAAAGAGACTATCCAGGAAAAGTGATAATGTGGTAGTTTTTCCATTTTCTTTCCACATCGCAGTACAACAGCCGTTCAGACCACTTTGGTCACGCCTGTTTTTTAACCATCTACCACACAAAAATATCCAGATTAAAAATGACTGAATTTTATATCTTGATATTGTTGCATTGCGGACGGTAAACAACTGAAAATAAATTTTAAACGGAATTAGTTAGATCAGCTCTGCAGTGGTAACAGCTTGACGTCCACATTTCTCCCGTTGATTAGTGAAAGAAAAGGTAGGCCGCCCCATAGCTCAAGCGCTTAGTCACCGCGACGGCCCGGGTTCGATCCCGGGTCTGATCAAGTGGGATTTGTGGTGAACAAACTGGCCCTGGGGTAGATTTTCTCTGAGTACTTCGGTTTCCCCTGCCAATCTTCATTCCACCAATTGCTCCACAATCACCCTCACCTATCATCTGGGGCTGGTACAATAGGCCAGAAATGGCCGCAGTACAAGGGACTTAGTCCCACCACACTAGCAATAAAAAAATAGTGAAAGAAGATCGGATTGCGTTTGTCTCTACAAAACCTACGCATGTGAGTATATCAGCAACGAAAACACCGTAAGTCTTTAATGAACGTGATAGATTCCGAAACGCTGAATTTTACTGATTGCACGAGAAGGCTTAATCGTGGTGAAATCTGATCCATTCCTGATATAGAAGTCAGCCTATTCGGCATAGAATTGCGCACAATTTATCAGGTCCTCTTTAATTACCGTACATGGCATGGCGATGTTACTGAAAAGGAAAGTGCAAATTGCAAGTACGAAACTTAGTTCTCAGATATTAATGATGAAGTATCTCCTTATTGGCTTCGTTGTACCGAACGGATCAGCAGAGCCATAACTCAATTGATGTACTCGTTAGGTGCCCAGATGCAATCCTTATCAAGACTGCCTTAGTACGTGTATAAGTTTTCGTGAGTTTTCTCAGAGTTTCAGATGAATTCATTAGAAATGGCTTCACGCAGACCATGCACGAATGCTCTCACCAGGGTCGGATTTAAAGGGGGCAGCTGAGGCGGGCGCCCCGGGCCCTCAACAAAACAGAAATAGAATCCACGGATATTATCGATAAATTTGCTTCTATAAAATCACGAAAAGTTGGTTCCTATTTTTTAGTTATTATATGAAATGGGTATAAAGGAACATAAAGGAACTGTCCTAATCCGAATTTGATGTCACTGATGGGGGCCTCCTGGTTTTCATTGCCCCGGGGTGCCCCACAACTGTAAATTCGGCCCTGTTTATACTACATACGCTTAGTGGATGATACTTTGACATGAAATAAGAGAAATTTCCTTGTACCGTTAATACTGAGTCGTTATAAGATACAGAGCTATTATATTATACATATAGAAGTGTAGAGTGCAACAGGATACTTAAATACAATATACAGAGCTATATATGCACAAGTATATAAATATACTAAGAACAGACTGAATGACAAATATAAACTTCATCAAAATATAAGAAATTACTGGATAATCAAGGCATATAATTATGCTCGTCTTTCGGCTGCTTCCTGTCCTGCAATATATGGCTCCATTTAACTTTAAATTTTATTAATAATTTGGGAACAATATTTTCGCAGTTGAGAGATGTTCTAGTGTAGAAGAGATCTTCCACGTTGCTTCAGATTTGGTAGGAAATTGATATCCCCTCATATCTTAATGATGTTATAGCTTCTTTGAAGTTAGAAGACGGCTCAGGAAATTTATAAAATTACGTCGGAACTATAGCCGGTCACGGTAGCTGAGCGGTCTAAGGCATGTACTGTCTTCGCTCGCTTGGAAACCGGGATCGTGGGTTCGAATCCCACTCAGGGCATGGATGTTTAGTTTGTGTGTGTGCGTTTTTCTGTGTTTGTGTACGGGTAGAGGCCTTGCGACGAGCTGATCACCCGCCCAAGGAGTCCTACCGTCTGTGTAAGATCTAGAAAAACCGAAGTGAACGGAGAAGTTCATGGAGGTAGGCCTAGGCCCACTGGGGCTGTAGTGCCAAGGAAGAAAAAAAATCGGAACTATGATCTAATAAAGCAATTATAGTTCTCACCTACACACAACAGTTCACTGTTCCTTTCATACTCGTAGGGACGCCAGTTGGTGTTTTCTTGGTTTACTCTCCTGCACTGACGCACGTTCCTTCGGGTTACTAATTGCTATCACATATCATAAGACAACAAACTTCTGAATTATAAGATTAAAGTGAAGTAGGTTGCCCCATGCTTAATTAATTAAGCACTATGCCATGAAGACATGTAGGGGAGTGGTGATATAGCGCCACCATTCTTCACTTCGACACTAGACAAAAATATGTTCAGCATCGTGCCCATGCTGCTTTACTCCGGGTAAGAGCCGCCGGTACACTTTGGACAGGAAGCTGGTTGATCACCAGCAGGACCATGGTATGGACTGTATGGACGGTACGCTTTAGACAGGAAGCTGGATGATCACCAGCAGGACCATGGTATGGACTGTATGGACGGTACACTTTGGACAGGAAGCTGAATGATCACCAACAGGACCATGGTATGGACCGTATGGACGGTACGCTTTAGACAGGGAGCTGGATGGTCACCAGCAGGACCATGGTATGGACTGTATGGACAGTACACTTTGGACAGGAAGCTGGATGATCACCAGCAGGACCATGGTATGGACTGTATGGACGGTACGCCTTAGACAGGGAGCTGGATGGTCACCAGCAGGACCATGGTATTGACTGTATGACGGTATGGACGTTGTGGAGCAGAGGAAAATATCCTGCTACTGGCTGGAATCTAACCCGGGCCGTCTAGCCCGTAGCCTATTGCTGTACCGACTGAGCTATGCCGGGTCCTCAAATTGTCAGATTACTGACACCATAATTAAGACGTGTAAAAACGGATGGATAACGAGTACAGGTAGTGTCCGAAAATAATACAGGTTAGTGTGACGTTCTCCCACGGATATTGATTGGAGATCTGAATCGTAGTGACTTTCCCTACGTGTAGGTATCTAATAGGCCGAGGACCAGTCACTTTACAAATTTTCACTGTTTAACGTGACAGGATATTCAATTGTGAGTTTACTTCTGACAGGAGAGATTAATCAACTCTTTGTATTAATACAAGTTTTCCGGTGATCAGTTTAATTTTACTTCAAACGAGCGCCTTTCGGGATTCTTCTAAGAAAATTGACTGATCATTCAGGAAGTTTTACGTGTACGTAGTCAGAGTTCCCTCCACCCCCATGGCGAGATATTGGTACAAATACTTGGCAAGTGAACATTCCCAATCCCTGCTTCTGTAAAAGCACCTCCCGTAGGAAGATTCCTCGGTCTTGAACCTGTAGGAGCTGTCACTGAGAACATGAGGAAAGCATGAAACTTTTAACTTGCTTCTATTCCCTTCCGTTTGATGATTTCAGAGAGTTTTGAATAAATGTACTTGCTTGCAGGTTCTATCACGTACGCACGACGAATCAGTTGCAGAAGAGAAAAATGAAAAAGGAAGGAAAGAAAGGAAAAACAGAGAGATCGGGAAGATAAAAAGGGAAGACGTAAAATTTATGGTTTGAGGTTCAGTACAAAGTATAATGCAGAAGTAAGGTGGGGGTTTCAATATGGGGAGAAACAATAAAAATTATTTGCAATATCTTACATTTAACAGTTATGTTTCAAAGAGGAATTTACGTAGTTTTGGATGAGATGGAGTTCGGTTACTATCGGTAATTTGATACGGATCTTTAGAAAGTAGGTGTGGCCTGTTTGAAAACCATATTGTATAATTTTTCTGTACTCGTAGATACTGAGGATAACCTCCGAAATTCTCAAGATAGGCAGGTACCTAGACAAAATTTTAAACAAATATCTCCGAAATATATGTATAAATCTCCCACTTGTAACTACTCAAGAAGACAATGTATTTACCTTGCAAATCTATTGGTGATGTAACCTCAGAAAGCCCCAGCTGTCATGCACTTCCATTAATGATGACGGTTATATCCAAGTCGGCAATGCAGTTTGCTGTTCGCTTTTCATCCAAACCTAGAAAATGAAACTCACGTTACTGCCAAGAAAGTGATCAAGACATAAACGCTGCTCGTTGCCCTTCTTCTTCAGTTTAAAGACAAGAGAGCAGAGAATGGAGTATAGAGTGTTTCTTTAATATGCGACTGTGTATAGACTGCCTCATAAAAGGCGAAGAGTTTCTCAACTATTTCTTCTAAAAAATGACACTGTTCCACACAGTTTTTAACTAATCAATTTTAAGGCTAACTATGCCAAAGATAACACTTAACCATGGAATTTCTTTGTCCTTGTACTTCGACCAATGTTTTCTGCTGCGAGCCGGAATTGTGAAACTGGCAGAGACGGCGGTTGCGTGGGAACGGCTGTGTAAACACGTTAGTTGCTAGGCAGTGGTTCAGTGGACGTCACGTGACCGGGATCGCGCTTACACTCAACAGTGGAACAGTGGCTCAGACACGCTGACGACGCTTCCCTGGTTCTGCCGCATGGGCCAGCAAGACTGCAGCAATTTCTCCACCACCTCAGCAGCTTTAGAGCTACCATCAGATTCGCAGTGGAAGTTGAAGCTAATTTTACTCTTCTGTTCTTGCACGTCTTGGTCATGAAGAGGGGCCCTACACTGGCCACGAAATTGCACCGGAAACCTACTCATACTGATAGTTATCTGAGCTCCAAGTCCAGCAACGCATATCAAGTGAAAAGAGGAGGCGTTCATAGCTTGATCAGTCGAACCAAGGTCTTGTGTCAGGATGAGAAGGATTTCAACAAGGAAATTATGAACAAAAGATATGATCTGCGAGGAACCAGCAGTCTGTAGCCACCTGCTCACGCTAGTTCCTCAACCGCGGATTGTTCTACCCTGAAGATAAAGGCGTTACGTTCCTCCGAAACGTCGGTTCACACAAGCTCTGCACAGCACCACGTCCCAGAAGGCGGCATTCTTCGATTTCCAATTTTGTTCAGTATTGACCAACCAATGTCAGTCCACCGAGCAAAAGTTGATTTCCTTCCCAGAATAACATTACGCGTGTAGTCAGGGTCAGTCGTTTATGAGGAAACATGTGCACTGTCTTTGCACCGATATTTATAGAATGAAGTTCAATTAGGGCTCAAGTTTGTATTGCACTAATACAAACAAAAAAAAGCAAACTCCGTGATTTTAGTCCGCAAGCGAACTATACCGACCGAACGACCGCAGCTTCTCGGCGAAGTTAATGCCAACTTATGCGGATAGAGGGTGTCACGTGGTCGGTGCAACGAATCCCCAAAGCCATTAATCTCTGTTTTCTAGACAGGAGCCGCTATTTCCTTGAAATAGCTCCTCAATTAACCTCACGAAGATGAGTGGACCCCGTTCCAGAGCCACTACTTCTCAGAAAATCTGATAGCTCCTGGAATCGAACCCGGACCTCGGGATCTGAAGTCAGGAACTCTGACCACTAAACCACAGAGGCGGCATTATATTGCACAAATACGATGTAAAATTATATTCAACAATCCTGCCTTCTGCGATATAATATTGCTCACGCCTGTGAAAAATTCTGCTTGCTTGTTTACTGCCTACTTAATAACACTTTCTTGTTTGGCTTATTTTTCAATCTTGAAGATGCAGATGACACTTTCCTCCGAAACATCATTTGAATTTTGCTGGACTACATTGCGTTATAGCTCAAAAAATATAAACCTTCATAATGAACGCTGTGAGAACCTCAGACCTCATTTAAATTGAATCTACCAGTCCATACTAAGAGTAGACCTTCCGATACGAAATACTGTTGAAAATCATTGAATATTTTGCGTACGGGCAATGACATAGGCTCTTCCAATTGTACGCTCTTTCATGAAAGTTTCACAATGAACTGCTTACGTACTAGTAGCCAAGTTGTTACAACGTTGTATCAAAATCACATTCGTCGTCTGCAATTTTCTTCTAGACCAAGGGCTTCCAAACTACTGCCCACGATGTGATTTTATCCGGCCCGTTAAAAATTGTGCAGAAATGCGCCAATTGAACTAATTTTCCAATGAGTACTGATAAAAAAATACTTGTTCATAGATTTCAAATTCATTAATTAAGATTGTGTTTAAAATATATTGATATTCCATATTATGTTAATATTAATATTATTCACAATTTTACTAATTCTGGACCATATACTGCGCGGTATTTCTTCGTACTTGTTCGGTCTCGATCGGCAGTGTCACTTCTTGGCAATGTAGGTAGCGCGAGCAGTTCGTTACTAGCCGTCTTGTGCAGAAGACATCTTTCAGTGGTGCANTGAACATTTAAAATTGCTACTTGTGATGAGCGTTTCAAAATTTGAACCTCAATTTAATCATATTTTAAGAATGCAAAAAGAGTTCAATCATTCACGTCAATTGTTTTATTATAATTTGTGATGAAAATATGAGCATTTGTTTTTACGGTCTGTTGTCATTAATATACGATAATTTATTCTCACGTACTTTGTATTTAGTTTATGAAATTCTGTGCTTTCAATAAAACTCATATACGTAGTGTTATTAATTTCTCATTTTATCCGGCCCATTGAAAGTGCTGAATTACCTAATGTGGTCCGCGTTTCGAAAAGTTTGGAGACCCCTGTTCTAGACTCTTCCTCTGCTGCAGGATTCGCTCTATGTTTACACGGAGAACTACATTAAATACTTCTGAAATGTTGTCTTCTACCTGTAATAGGATTACAAAAACTGCGTGACATGTATAATTAGTCTCCTTTAAGTGACCTACCCTACGAGAGCTGCTCAAATGGAGTTCCGAAGCACCTTCGTGTGTACCAACTGTGCATCCTCTTTGTATTTCGCCGGTAATGCCAACATTTGTGGTATAATTTTATCTCAGTATACGAAAGACTACCAACTCACATTTAGATCTCAACAACAAACGAACTTTATGTCTGTTTGTAGGCTACTAATTGCTTCAAATGTACGCAGAATGGGGAATTCGTATCTTATCTTCTTATTTCATGGCTCGAAATAGGAAAGATTAACCCCGAAGTCAGGATCATGGGTTAGAATCCCGCACAAGGCATGGAAGTTTGGTGTGAGTATGCGTTTATTCTGTGTTCGTGTTGTCCTGTGTTTAGGTAGAGGCCTTTCGATAAGCTGATCACCTGTTCAAGGAGTCCTACCGTCTGTAAAAACGATCATGAAACTGAGAAATCAGCCTTATGCTCCAAAGTTTCAGCAAGAGGAGAGGAAAAGAATCCCTTAAAGCCCACCTGCTTTAACACATTAAACTCTGTGTTCCGCCTACAGAATATAGCTCTATGTTTCATACGTTTCTCACAATAAACAAGGATGTTTTCCCTAAACAACATTAACTGGTTGATCCTTGCAGTGGAGATGTTTGTTTCCAGTGAAATATGAACTTAATTTATGTATATTGTCACGTATATGAGGTTGTGGTGACGAATAATATTGGGTTCTGGATTTGATGATTGGATTTATTGATATTTCTTTACAATTACAGTTAATTATGACAGCTAACAATCACTCTTGACCGCTGAGGCCTATCTTCATTCTGATTCTCGTTCTACGACTGACTTAAAACAACCTTTGTTGTCCCCTATAAACCCTCGGCACGGACCACACACAGAAAACACTTCGAGATCACCGTGTTCTAACAATTCCTCTGCTGTTATAGAGGTGTGTTTACGTTACCTTGGATTAGTAACGGCAGTCCTTCCATTGTTGCCTGCGCATTCGTTGCAGCGAGAATATATTTAGCAACCCATAGCCTAGCAATGACCGCACATGTTACAGTATTGTCTAGAAGAAATTTTGTCTTTAAATATTTAATGTTCGTATTTAGCCTACTTCTGAAAATTCAATAGTGAATTTTAAACCTGAGAATTTCTGTCTACATTCTAAAGTAGTGAAGTTCATATCCTGTGCTCATGTACACCACAATTATATTCTTCAGTCGGTAGAAACAGACACGCGGTAAACATTATGTGTTATGACACATATTTTCATCCACAAGCAGATCTCTTTATCGCAACCGGATCATCATTACCCCGAACCGTTGAATTAACTTCCACGCCCCGACATGTTGGATTTTTTCTAACACGTGGCCCTTCTAGAAACATACAGCATCCAGATGAAAGGATTCTCATAATCACAGGTAATTTGTAATCCAGGGTGGTTTGGGGGGCTGTGTTAGAGGATATTCTTGGTACTGCTGCTACATGCAGCTTTTTAAAGGGAAATACAAAATAAAAAAAACAGAGGTCACCTGAGACACATATGAGTAGATAGGAGGATAATATTAAGTCCTTCTGTATATATATTTATTTAACTATTTTGTTGGTAGCTCAGAATATAGAGATATTTCTCTTCTTTACACATTCACAACGGCTCCAGAGCCCACAAAATGGGTGTTGGGTGGGGCTCTATTTCCTCAGCTAAAGCGGACGGAGCTTGAAACCAAGGTTTAAGTGTGGAGCTATACCTTCATTTCCCCATGCGCTTTCGTGGAAATATGCTTAACCATTTAAGCACATGGACAAATTTACCTTGCATGATAATAAGTTAATAGTCAGCAGTAAATTGGTATCGATGGCGAAAAAAGAGACCGAGGAATATTTTCAGATATTTCCCCGTCATAGAGGAAGGGAAAACTCAGGATAGAGGGTCTCCTGGCTAATACTTGAAGCCGGGACCTTTAGCACAGTGCAAGAGCGCCACCCTCTCGACAGAGACGCTCTCTTATTGGCATGGATTGTAATATTTCATTATTTCACTCACTCACTCACTCATGGAGCTGAGGCCTTCTAGAGAAGGTGCCAATTCTGCTGCTACTCAAGAACTTACCAGCATTTTATGGAACCCGAAAGTTCATTACCGTGCTCACAAGAGCCATGTACTAGTCCCTATCTTGAGTCAGATCAATCCAATCCATACCATACCATCCTATCTCTCTAAGACTCTTTTTAATATTGTCCACCTACCTACGCCTTGATCTTACCAATGGTTTCTTTCCATTTGGCTTTCAT